TCTCTCAATTAAGTTTTAATATAAAAATGACAAATAATATATAATGATTTCAAAAACTACCTTTTTTTTCAATCTTCCCCTCTAAGAGGTGACCTTAATTTAAAGGGAAACGAAATTCAAGCTGAGAAACATGCTTATAAAATAATAATGTTTTACGACAATGAATATACTAAAAAACTAAATGTTTGCAGCAATAAACATTATACAGAGAGCTAGTTTATTATAATTACAAATATAACAACAAAAAGTGATGAACTGATGTCAATCTGAGCTGCTCAAGCCCAAGTTGGTTAAAAACAAAAATCTACATTTTCCAAAAATGATATTTTCATAAACAAAAAATGTTATTATATTATTAATTCTATATTATTAGTTATTAAATAATTATTTTTTATCCATTAATCCCCCATCCCTAGTTTTAGTAATGTATAATAATTAGCTAGGGACCCAATAATGATCATAGAAATCTTATATTGGCAACACTTGGCTGCCAACTTTTCCCCAAATCTTGGTGTGAGATTTTGAAAGATTTTGGACAGGCTGCCCTTGTCATGGTTAGATTGCAGGTGTAGGTTGTAGCTTTTCAGAGGATTTAACTGAAACAAAGTGGCAAGATGTGGAATTTTTTTATTGCACAGTAAATGTTACTGAGTAACAATAAGTGATCTGCAGTTAGGTGGAACATCTTTCACACAATATACATTATTTTCTATGTTATGGTGACTTTCAGAGGATTGAAGTAAAGAAGACTGGGCCCTACTAAAACACTTGATTCTTCAAAATACTGTAAACTAAGAATTTCACAACTTTCTTTATTAAATATTCTGTGCAGTTCACGTGAAATAAACAATGGGGAACTAATAAGTTATTACTGGCACTGATACAGGAACCAGTACAATCATTGCAAAATACACTGTGTACTATTATTTGGTAGTAGGATCAAAAATCTATTAAAAGTCATTATTTTATTAGTTTGTTTACGACTGACCAAATGGCTAAAAAATCCAGACCTTTTTGGAGGCTGTAGAGTCTATAAAAACTCTCAAAAATAAGGTTTAATGGATAAGATAAGTAATAAGAAAATAAGAACATCCCTGTGGTTCCTCCTCTATGAATCCTGGATAACTGAGTTTTTCTGCACATCCTTTCTGAATGTGGTTGGTCTTTTCTAAATATAAAATGCTGATTTTCTTTTTTTGTGAACCTCCTATGGGTTTCTGAGGCAAACCTGAAAGCTTTAAGAATTTAGATATTTGTGTTAGTTTAATTAGTCCTCAATTCAAATGGGGGATTATTAAACTAGACTGAGCAATAATTATTTAACTTGTGAGCAAAACATTGATTAAAACTGTGGCTAAATCAGGTGGTTAAATTACAGCAAACAAGGAGTAACGCTCACTAAAAAAAGAACTAGATGTAGAGACAACAAACCATTCAATGTCAGTTTGATGTGATCCTACACTCAGTCTCCACGTTGAAAATTTAAGCTAGCTGCCTGCTGTATATTCTATTCATATGTACTCAAGTACTAGATTGCTTAAAATCTTCATTAATTTACAAAGTGATTTATCTTAGTCCAGATAAGATCAAAAATCCAATGACATACCTTGTAATACCTGCTCAGAAATGCTGGTCTTTTTACAATAGCTGGCACAGTGAATAGGTGGGCTTGTGCAAAAATAAAGACTGGATATAAACCTGGCATGTCTTTGTGTGTTTGCACTAAGGTTGTGTTGAAAATGTGGACTGGATTTTTATCTGCATGGTATTTTTATATATTAATAAGTTGAATGGAGTTGAGTTTCAATGTTCGTCATTTCTTAGCGTGGAAAAATGTGTATATGTAGTGAGAGCGTTTGAAGACACTGAGAAGCGTGAGTCTCATGCCCAATGAGTGAGAGCTGACAACCCTGCAACAGGATGTGCCTTACCGTGGTGTATGGTACTAATATTTTATCCTTCGTATCCCAACAATTTATTCACAGCTTCCAGCGTTTGAATATAATACTCCTTGTACTATGGACTTCAATAAAAGTTGATAAGTCATTTATTGTCAATTAAAACAGTGCAACTGATGATTTGGGCATTTTATTAAGCAGTTAAATCACCTTTCCAAGAATAAGTTAAAATTTGGACCGAAAGCTTCAGTACTCTCAAATTGATGACCCTAAATTTGCAAGAAAAAAGTAAATATGTTTTGTGCTTAGAAATGTTTAATCTTATTAGAAAACGATTTTGACATTTTCACAAAATTCAGTAAACTCTAAAACATGTCCAATCTGTTTTATCTCTTTATATTACTATACGACTCTTTTGTGTACACTATCAATTAGTCTCAGGTCATACCTGCCATTTATTTTGCTGTTTAATAATAGTATTTTATAGACTTACTTTATAACTAAGATATAAGAGGTAGGAGTCCCCATGGAGAAGTGGTTTAAGTCTTTCTCTGTAAAACTTAAGACTTGCTGTGGTGATCCCTTAATATGGGAGCAGTTGAAAGCACACAAGCCATCAGCAGACAATAAGATCAGGTTCTCATTAGTCGTGCGGCTGCATCCTATGAGCATCTTCTGACTGATGATGTAGGATTTTATTTTAGTTTAATATGGTGTTGTAGATTGAAAACTTTCTCTTTTTTCAATGTTTAAAAGTCTTAATGCTTAACCTTTGATGTAAAATGCAGCTCAGCATAGAATCTGAACCAAATAAGACGTCTTATTATACATAAAATAAGGTAGAGACAATCGTTTATGGGGATTAAAGTGAGGATTAACTTAAATTGAAAGATTTCTCGATTTGCTATAGCTAGGAGGAGCTGTTTTTCTTGACTGTATATTTCTTTTACATTTACTGAAATGTTTCTATTTCAAAATATGACTATCTGCTGATCTGGAGTTATTTTAAAGTGACTTCCTAAGCTTTCTTAGAGGAGCAGCAGCAGCAGCAGCAACAATCCCCCCTCTATGATCACTCCTGAAACATTTCCTCCTTTGTATTTGTAAAGAGATGTACCGATCCTATATAGTGCTGAGCCATATGGAAAAAAATCATAAATCAGGATATGAACTATTTTATATGACAATATACCCCAAATAAGTAAGTTTTCTGCTAATCTCAGAAAAATAGCTCACTTTTTTCATCTGTATTTTGAAGTGACATTTACAGAACTGTCACAAATGAGAAAAAAAAATTAGTAGATGCCTTTAACAAGGTATCAGAAACTCTCCTTTTCAACTTCATACATGGATAGGGATGATGCCTGTTCTTATGTAATGTGCAATAGCTACTGTGATTTGTTTATGGCACTGATAACTGATCTCATATGGGATGCATCAGGCTAACTACTCTTAAA